GAAAAGGCAGCTAGTCTGCCGCGCAATGCTATATTGCCTGCGAGGAGCCTAAACTATACAGACCAAAGCAGTAGATGGCATGCCTAAATGGGTATTGGCAAATGCACGGCGTAGATGGATAAACGCTCACAGAGTGGCCGCCTTTGCATACAGCGACTCGACAACGTTGCTCAGGCTCTTGATCGTGTCGAGCGTCGTTTCGTATGTGCTGTCGTGCCGCGGCTCGGGGAACACCACCAAACAGCCATTTCCTTGATCGAGAATTCCGCACAGCACCTTGTCGAGAATCATCTGGCTGAGCTTGTTCTCCACCACGCCAATCGGCAGCCCAATCAGCTTGGCAATGTGCGTAATCTCAACCCGCGAGTACGGCTCGATTAGGCGCAGCAGGTTCTGCTCCATCAGCGTATCGTAGAGCGCCGACAAATGAGTGCGAATCAGCTCGTCTGACTGCAGCTCATTGCGGAACTCGTTCAGTGCCTTTTCAAAGTCAGCCAGCGAGCGCTGTTTCTGCGCCTTGGCCACTGTTTGCAGCGCAACAACTGTTTGGCGGTCGCGGAACTTTGCAGCGGTCTTGCCTGTCGCAAAGAGCGATGTGATGTCATCGGGCTGCTGCGTCATAATCTTGCACAAAATCATATACGCAAATGCCTGTAGCTGCTGCTGCTCGTAGCTGGCAGCGGCCGATGCGCTCTCGCTGACACTCTTTGAGTTTGCATATACGTTCAGCCCCTCCATGGTCTCAAAAAAGTACGAGTATGCAGTCTTAAAGTCGCCTTCGTCCGAGTGCAGCGTGCCCGACTGCAGATCGAGCTGGGCCTGAAGCGGCGGCGGCGTGTAGATGCTGTTGGCGGCAGTGCGTGCCGACGTCAGAGCAGCGCGGGATTTGGGCAGGTTCTTCAGGGCCATGTATACGCGGCTCTCGAGCAAGTGCACTTCGACCAGCTGCATCCGGTCGTCCAGCTTCTTGAGCTCTGACAGCAGCTGCGAAATAAGCGCCAGCGCATCGGTGTACAAATGGCTGTCCAAATACAGCGACACAAGACGAGTCTCAAGTGCCTGGCGCAAGTACTCGCGGTTCTCGGTCTTTGCCCAGTCGAGCATGCCCTTGCACGTGGATATCTGCACCTGCAGGGCGCCCGAGATGCCGTTGAAGCGATCGACCAACGTGCGAATAAGCTTGGACGACTTTGCTTTGGAAATAGTAACGAGGAATTGCTGTGAGCCGTTGATGAGCGTGGTCAACGCCGAGGCGTCTTGCATTTGCTCGTACAGCGCAGCCAGCGCAAGCAGCGCGGTTTCGCGGTCTGACATAGTGACGTTATCGGCTTTGTCGGCAAACAGCACCGAGTTGTAAAGTTCGACGGCCTGCTGCGGCGACTGCTTAGCAGCCTCGTGGGCCTGGGCAAGTTGAGAAGCCATTTGGATTGAGAAGCGCAATGTGTTGAAAAAGCAAGAGATGTAAAAAGCAAGAGAAGCGTTGCGTATGCGCATTCAGCTCCAGATTTAATCATGATCAGAATGACGCAAGCCATCTCATTAAAGACCATTGCTAGTTATTCTACATTCTTTTTAGCTAAACACGATTGCATATATTATTTACAATGGCAGACGGAGCGATATTCGCAAAGAAACCCGAGCTGGCGCTTGCGCAGCACAAATTCGCAGTGTTCAATGGCACACCGGAGCAACGCACTGAGGCGCTGCAAAAGCTGAGCGACGGAATCAAGCAGGACAAGATGGTAGATTTCTACGCACAATTGGTGAGCGAGGGCGTGTTTGAAAATGACGCAGCGCTGGCAAAGGAGCTTGAAGCAGGTAGCACGGCACAGCTTGCCGAGCTGGACAAGAACTATGCGGAAGCAAAGGAAGAGCACGGCGACCTGGAGCAGAACGAAAGCAGCATCCACCGCGCAGTGTTCTTTGCGCAGATTGGCGCAGAAGACCGGGCACATGCGGCATACGAAGAGGTGCTGCAGCGGCCGACCACAACGCTGAACCAGAAGCTGGATATCGTGTTTGGCAAGCTGCGGCTGGGACTGTTTGCGTACAACCCGCAGATTATCCAAAAGGAGATTGAGCGGGCGCACGAGCTGGTCAACAAGGGCGGCGACTGGGATCGGCGCAACCGGCTCAAGGCGATTGAGTGCATCTGGCACTGCAGCCAGCGGCAGTTCAAAGAAGCCAGCGACCTGTTCATCGAGTGCTTGAGCACATTTGCCAGCCCCGAGCTGATGTCGATGGCAGAGTTTGTGTGCCACGGAGCGCTGGCGTGCGCAGTGGTGATGACGCGGGCAGACATCAAGAAGAAGGTTCTGGATGCGCCCGAAGTGGTCGAAGTTATGGGCGCGATTCCGGCGGTGGAGCGCATGCTGCGGTCGCTGTACGAGTGCAACTACGCCAGCTTCTTCGTGGCGCTGGCCGACGTCGAGACGCAGCACCTGCGCGTGTCGCGCTATTTGTTTGCGCACCGGCGCTATTTTACGCGCGAAATGCGGATCCGCGCGTACGCGCAGCTGCTCGAGTCGTATCTGTCGCTGACGCTCAAATCAATGGCCGAGTCGTTTGGCGTGTCGCAGGAGTTCATTGATAGCGAGCTGTCGCGCTTTGTGGCAGCTGGACGCTTGCACTGCGTGATCGACAAAGTCGGCGGCATCGTGGTGACGAACCGGCCGGACACAAAGAACGCGCAGTACCAGCGCACGGTCAAGCAGGGCGATTTGCTGCTCAACCGCATCCAGAAGCTGGCGGGCATCGTTTCGATGTAGATGATTTATTAGACAGTTTTGTGGACTTTACTCACGTGTGTCATAAGATTCCCCCGCTGCGAGAACGCACGTAAACAGTCCGCCACATGGCACTTGAACGGCCGGTCTCCGGTGTGTGTGCGCTCGTGTGTGCGCATGTTGCCCAGCTGTGGGAACGTCTTGCCGCACCCTGGATGTCGGCACGCATATGGTTTGTATCCTGTGTGCGACCGAATGTGGATGTTGAGATGCGCGCGCTGGTAGAATATTTTGCCGCAGCCAGCGACTGAGCACACAAACTGCCGCCGCCCACTTCCTGCCTCGCCCGCTGCATGTGCTATTTGTCGTACGATCTTCTCGTATCCTTCGGTCAGCTCCCGTTGCTTGGCTGCGCTACATACGCCTTGTTCGCTGCGCTTTGGCCGTCCACGCCGGATCTTGGCCACCACGACCAAAGCCTCCGGTATGTCTGGCACAACCGTTCGTGTATCCTCCCCCGAAAACGCTGTGGCCACTGCCGCTGCCAGCGTGTCCAGCCGCGTCAGACCTTGCATGTGAATGCTCGTTAAATTATAAGACTAGAGACATAAAGCTGTATTTTTTTATTTTTTAATGATGGATCAGGATATAAACTGTGATCAAATTTTAGTATTAAGCTTGCCCCTGCCCATGTGATCATTTGGAACCGCGTTTCAACATCAATATAAATTCAGGGACAATTGAGGAGGCTATATAGACATCCCGGTAATATGAGCACCTCTTCTGCTCAGCACACATTTCCCAGACATTTGTGCGAGCACTTTTGCAACTGACAGTATGCGGAATATATCGAGCGACGTTGTGCGGCTTATAGCCCAAACAGCAGCTGGCCAGGATGCGTTTGGTCAGGAACCAGTCCACATCCGAGCCATGCTCTCTGTCTGCCGGCTCTGGCGCACCGCGTCGCTTTCCGTATACTGCTCGTGCATTACCGTGTGCATGCCAGCCGACCGCACTGCGCTGTACTGGGCGCGCAAAGGACTATCGGCATCCAAAGCTCGAGCGCTGGGCTGGCACACTTTTGCTCGCCAAGCAGTCGTCATCGTGTCTGACCGCCAGCCCAATGTGCCATACAGTGCAATTGCAGCGCTCGACAGCGTGTTCTGTCGAGTGACCCGCGTCAAACTACTCGCAATGACAAACCCCGGGCCAGTTTTCAGCGCTCTGCTCGTGGCATTTCCCGCCCTGCGGCAAATTAAACTCGAGGCAACAAACACCCAAATATCACATACAATGCACGCGCCCACCAGCCTTACGCACATTGAGGTCACATCGTGCCCTGCATTTGCCGTGGGTGCAACAATTCCGTGCCTCCGCTCGCTTGTGTTGAATATGGCGGGCACACATACAAGTGCGTTGGCGTTTGCGCGCCAGCATGCTCAAACGCTGGTCAAGCTTGTTGTGAAACACATACATGTTCGTGATTGTCCAATGCTTGTGCTTGACGAGCATAACAAATGTGTCGAGTATGCGCACGTGCAAGTGTTGCGCCTTGATGTACTGGGCGCATACGACCCGGAGCTCGTTGCACGGCGAGAGTGTGTACATGGCACGCCGTTTCCCAGTCTACAATATTTAAATTGCGGCTCATTGTATCCATTTGCCAATAACGTATTGCTCCGCGGCGCACATCACACACTCCGAGTGCTCATAATTTCCATTGACACAAAAGTGGTTGTGTGGCTGCTTCCGGGGGCCACGTGTTTGCGTAAATACACTCGACTTGCCGGAATGGAAGCTCGAATTGTCTCACGCGCGGGTGCGAGCGACACACAGAACATTGCCATGAATGCACGTGTGCTTGACGCTTCGTTCCAGACGCCGCATATGCAGTGGCTAAGAATAAAGTATCCCAACTCACACTTCATCGAGTATAGTAGAAAGCATAAAATTAAACTGTAGTAATTAATACGTAAAAAGTGTGGTTTTTAAGTAATATTTGTTTCATCCTTTGATAATCCTACTTTTTCAATTTAATTGAAAGATATAACCTTCTTTTGCCAGTATCTGTCGGCTGGCCTGAAATAGTAACTAAAAACTACGTTTGCAACGTCTTACACTCAAGACAAGCAGTTGTTGTGCGGTATGTGACGTCACAGCAGTCATGTTTACTACAAAGAATGCAACAATCTTTGTAGTAATTAGTTGCGGGCGATAGACAACCATTTTTAGAGACGTGTTTACAACAAGTTAACATTGATTAACTGACCAAAATCCGCAATGGTCCAATGGCTAGGATTTCACGCTTTCACCGTGACGGCCCGGGTTCAATTCCCGGTTGCGGAGCATTTTTTTTTGCTGTTTCTATAGCTGCTCAGCAAAAGACGGAATGTATAGACTCTGAGATTGGCAGTTCTGGGGTGGGCGATCGTCCTGGTTCTTCTTTTTTACTTGTATGCCAATCCCATGCTTGAGAGGAAGGTCAAGTGGGAGAAGCGTGTGCATGGGTTCTGCATCGTACAGTTTGCATCTTTTCTCCTTTTGCAAATAGTAGTATTTCTAAGACATAATGGACGGACAGCTTTACGCGCCGCTGCTGCCGCCGACGCCAGAGACGCCAGGCGCGGGGCAACGGCAGCGGACGATGCAGCTGCACCGAGGGACTGGCGCCACGCCATGGACAGACAAGACCGCCCCATGGTCTGACAAGACACATCAGCCCCAGGCACCGATCACAACAGCGGCAGGGACGCAGCGGTTGCGCCTGCCCAAGCGGCGGGCGATGTCGGCGGGGCGCAGCAGCACTTCATCGTGCACCGTCGTGGAGACATCAGAGTTTGGCAGCATCCCTGAGGACAGCGCGAGTATCCCTGAAGACAGCGTGAGCATCGACATACGGCACGTGCGCGGGACTCGCAGCATGAGCGCGGCACGGGGCAGCATAGCGCTGAGCATGTCGTCGCGGAGCAGCCTGAGCCACCGGCTGTCGCAGGGAACACAAGTGACGTGCGGCGCGATGTCGCCGACGCTGCCGATCGCTACACGCCCACGGTTCAACTCGGCCATGTCTGCGTTTGGAGCGCCGCGCGATAGCAGCTCAGCGTACGGCGGTTCATCACTAGGTGGTTCAGCGTTCGACAGCTCGACGTTCGGCGGAGCTGAGCTGACGATTCGTCTCAGCGTGGATGCAATCCAGTCACGCAGCTACCGCATGCTGCTGTCGGGTGATGCCGTGCTGGCAGACCTGCGGCATCTTGAAGACGAGCACCAGCGTATAGTCAGCGCAGCGCAGGCGGCGCTGGGACGGCGGCTTATTGCGCTGTACTTTGCGGCTACGTGGAGCGCCGACTGCGACGCATTTACGCCGCAGCTGCAGAGCGTGGCAGCAGCACATGGCGGCGACTTGACAGTGGTCTTGGTGTCGCTGGACCACCACCCCGCCGATATGGCGCGCATGATGGCTGGCACCGACTGGCTGTGTGTGCCGTGGCGTGAGCATGCGCGCCGTCGCAGCCTGGCCGAGCGTATGGACGTGTCGGCCACCGACCTGCCCAAGCTGGTCATCATCGACGGCAACACACACCATGTAATATCAGTCTCTGGGCGTGCCGACCTTGAGCGCCGGCCGCTGACGTGTGTGCGCGAATGGCTGAAGAGCCGGGCTGGCCTGTCGTGGTGGAACAAGGCCAAACCGTGGTAAGTTCCGCCTGCTTGGCCCCTCCCTGTCACTATTATTTGATTATTAATAATTTCGCTGTTTAATGTACGCGTAGGATGTTGGTGGGGCTGGCGTCGTTGCTGGTGTGGAACTTGGCTGTGTTTATGTTGGCGCCATTGTTCTTGGAGTAAACAGAGCCAAGTCGTGTGTGCTGCTAGCATCAGCTTTTTTAAACTAAGAAAGGCCCAGTCGTGTATGCTAGCAAGCTTAGATTATCGCTGGACCGAAAAGACCAAACACTGTTTATGCTGGCACCAGTGTTCCTGGACCGAAAAGACCATAAAGCCACCTATGCTGCTGACACCAGCGCACCTGGGCTAAAAAGTTGTTTATATTTGGACCCAAAGAGGGGAGGATTCATTTCATCAATTCCATTCATTTCATCCGCGACCAGGATCTGACCGACATTTGATTCAACAAAAAGGTGTATAAAGAATCGATTGTTGGTAGCCACTCGAACAATCATTTCTCTTCTGCTCGAGCTGCCTCTCCTTTTTTCTTTTTCAATTTTTCGGGAAAAGAGTTTTGTACACTGATTTTCCATTTTTCTAGTGCCAGCTGTATAAATTGAATGCATTCAACGAGACACGAGCCGCAGGCATCGACCAGCAGGCCAATTGCCGCAATGCGTGCACGCAACTACGCGTTGCAGGCGCAACCTCAGCTACAAACACTGGCGCAGCCTCAGCCTCAGAGGCAGACACGGCCTCAGACGCAAGCACAGCCTCAAGCACAGCCTCAAGCACAGCCTCAAATGCAGACACAATCCCAGACACAGCGTGGGCTGCGGCGCAACCGTTCAAATGAGGTGTCGCCAGTGCGCCCCGAGTTTAACTCGATGCGGCGCGTACCACAGCGCATCGCAGGCAGTGGGCGTCAGCATTCGGAGCCAGTTGCAAGCGGAGCTGGGCTGCAGCCGCCGACACAGCGTCTACGCACTACACCCAGCGCCAGCGATCTTCGTACTCCAGCCACGCCGTTGGCCCGCCAGCGCCGTCCTGTGCCTGTCGGCGGCAGCCTGGGACGCGCTGCGCGTGTTGTCAGCCCAACTGCTGCCCGGCCAGCGCCACGCCGGCCACTGCCATCGCCACATGTGACTGACAGCCGAATCACCACGCACATTCCACGTCCAGCGCCGCCTACCGATGAACCAATGAGCGGCATCTCGCACACATTCATGTTCCGCGAGTACCAGGAGCGCGGGCGCCAGCTCAGCCTCGAGCGCCAGACCAACGTACAGCTGATCGCCGACATCAAATCTATGAGCGCGTGCATCCAGTCTCTGGAGCTAGATCTGGCAGACACGCGTGCTCACGCCGCCAATGAGCAGGCGCGTGCTGGTGAGGCCGAGCGAGAGCGTGAGCGCTTGGCGGCGGTCAATCGGGCCCTGGAAGATAAGCTCGCTGCCCTGATGGACGTGGTCAAGGCGCAGGTCGGCAAGACCGCGCGTAGCAGCACCAGCAGCTGTTCTGAGCCCGACGACGGCCAATCTACATCTGAAAAGTACGCGCGCATGGTGTCGCGAATCGGTGCCATCCGCGGAGCATGCAACACAGACAACTCACGCTCCAGCGTTGAAAGCATGCGCTCGATCGAAAAGTTCCCAGCCAACGCCGAAAACATGCGCACGGCCGACAAGCTCTTGGCCAGCGCCGAAAGCAAGCGCAGACAGGCGTCGCACGAAGCACGCATTGACCGGCGGCGCAGCACCATGCTCTTTGCAGGGCTTATTCGGCCTTCAGGCGACTCAGTGTCAATCGACGACGCCATTCCATCGTCGTGCCAGCGCTGCGACCAGCTGCTCGACTCGTTGCAAACAGTGCAAATCGACAACGACTACTACCGCGAGGCCAACGCCAAACTGCGCGACAATGTGTCTGACGTTGTGTCACGCCACAACGCCATGGTGCGTGCATTCGAGTGCGAACGTGCTCGCCGTCGAGACCGCCGCGCCCATGAGCTTGCTGAGGCATCGCATCTGGCTGCTCGCGACCGAGCCCGCCTCAATGCTCATCAGCGTATTGAGCTAGGTCTGGACGATGCAGACGACTTGGCTCTGCGGTTCGACCATGCCGTACACATTTCGTAGTTTTTGTATTGTTTTGCATTTGTACAGTCATTTTTCTCGGTTGTTTATTGTCTTTGGACTGACGTGTTTATGTTAATTATGCTATTGTATTGATCTAGTACAAAAGTGACACTGCTTATGAAACTGTGCTTTGGCTGTCCATTTGTACAATAGGCTCAGCAACCTCCGTGTCCCTACCGCTCTGATCCACCTCTTCCTCCTGCACAACCAGCGTCCTAAATCTAACATCCTTGGCATTGAGTTTCAAAACGCTATTTCCAATAACATCAATCACCTGTCAGCTTCATATGCTGCTCGTCCGTATGCTGGTTTGGAGCCAGGAACAAACCGGTTGAGTCGTCTAGCACTGTGCGTAAACCCCATGCCGACTGACAGCGTGTGCATAAGGTCTTCGATTGGATATATGCTGCTTCCGCTTTAAGAATGGCAAGTATTTTGGTTACAGTTTTGTCTTCTGTTTCTGTCAGTGTGTATGCTGTTGTTAGACACACAACCAGTTCTACTATAGATTTAAATATTCTCATTTTTGATATTGGGGTTCAATAAAGCAAAACTGTGTAAAGAAGAGCAATGTTGTAGTGGTTTGTACTTTTGAGGATATCTGGACAGCACACTACTATTATTTGCATGTGGTGCTAAATGTTAAACTGTTCCCGGGTACAGCATAACGATATGACTTTATTTCCGCACTTGCACATCTTTTTTGTTTGGACGACTTGGTCCCCGCACTTGTTATTGTGACTAGAGCAGTGTGCTTGAACTTTCCCACCACTGCCGCTAACCTCTCATGAAAGGAAATGACGCAATGTCTGACTTTGTTTGCAATCTAATTTCCAACCCCTCATGATTAACCCACAACTTTTAACCACACTTTAGAAAATATGACAAGGATTGTGTAATCAGCTGGTGCAGGGCCAATAATCAGCACTGTCCTTCCCCTGTCTCCGCTAATGCTTATTACACAACCACACATTTAACACATTATATTTGAAGCGATGGACAACCTTGAAAACGACATTTTGGAGCTGTTTGAGGACACTCCGAGCGGCGGGCGTAGCGGCGACCGCGGGCGCGGAGACGGACACAGCAAGAGCCACAAGCAGCGGCGCGGGAGATACGGCGACAGCCCGCAACGCCACTCTCGGCGGGACGGCTACTCGGGCACAGATGACGATGACGTCGACATGGACACTGGCGACGATGTGGACACCGGAGACGACGTGGACATCGAGGGCGTCGACGAACGTGCGCACCACGCAAACAGCGACGACGAGCCCGTGGACGAATGGGGCGAGGACCTGATGGGCGGCTCAAAAGACCGGCAAATGCTGGCGGCGTTGACAGAAGTTGAGCGCGAGCGTATTTTGACTGAACGACAGGAAAAGCGCGATCTGCTGAACGAGCAGCGCGAGCTGCGGCTCAAACTCAAGGCAGGCGTGCGTGTGTCTGGAGCCGGCGAGCAGAGCAAGTCTGCGCGGGCCCGCCGATCGAATCGCGATGAGTCGAGCCGTGGCGGGGCGCTGTCCGACCTGAAGCGGG